TTAAAAAGCTTTTTTTTATTTTTACAATTTTCATTGTAAAATTACACAGTGCAATGTAATGTTACCAGAAAATTTTATTTATATTACACGAATTGTAATTCTACTTCACATTTCTAATTTTAAAAATAATACTTTTCAATTTTACAAAAATGAGACTGATGTATAAAAAAACAACAATGTCCTTCATATTTATTTATACTAATTTTTAGTCTATGGTTGTTTATTTGTAATAATAAATTCGAGGCATAATTTATCTTTTATAAATTCTAATATTATGCTCAAACGATCATTTCGAAATCAATATATTTGAATGAGTATATGTTAAACTTTTTCATCAATAAACAGCATAAAATAACACAATTAATGTAAATTATAAATAAAAGGATTTCCTTAATAGAATATCTTATTTGGAATTTAATATTTTAGAAACGAGAAGAAATTTATTTTTAATAATTTTTGGAGTGTAAATATTATGATTATCACAATTAAAATTCAAATAATTATTGTTAAATTTTCGATTTTTAGAATTTCTTTGACTTGTAAAAAAAAATAATTTTGATCTTTTTTATCAAAATTTTTTTTTTGGAATTTTTCGACTATTTTGCAAAATTTACCTTTGCAAATTTCCAAAATGTCGCATTTTCGGCAAAAAACGCGACCAGTCAACTAAAATCTGTTTGCATAAACAACCCAATAAATCAGAGCTTAAAAATAATAATAATAAAATAAAACCGTCTAGTAGCTGTTAAACCAACGGTTTACCGATATAATTCTAAAGTATAGATAAAAGAAAATGTAACGCTGATCTACCGGCGTCTCATACAATAATAATAATAATATAAAACCAAAGATTTAACGGCACTGACTTGCGGTTTAGATCTCTAAACTCGATTCGCGGTTGATCAACCGACAATAAAATGTAATCCGCAATCGGCTTTTTATGCAAGTACTTTTAGTTCATATATTACATATTCTTATTCTTATTATATTACTTACACTCCAACTTTCTAACCAGCCACATGTCAGGTGTAGTCTCGAGCCTTAAGCCTCAAACCCTACAAACTTTTATTCCCTCACTCAAAACTCTTTATTTTATCATACATTACACTTTATACTTTATAATAGTCCTTTTTTTTCTTTTTTTTTTTTTGTTAGAATATCAAATTTTATTTCTTTGCATTTCGATCAATGTATCAAGTACTGTTTCATGAATTTTTTATTTCATATGAAATCGATAAATTTTTTTTTATTTTTTGCTATTTGACTACTCAGCAAATCAATAAGTTCAGATTTTAATTGAGATTTAACTTTTTGCAATTTTTTTTTTTTTTTCATTTCATTAAACAATTTGTTTTTAATGATATAGAGGAAAATTTATCAGAAATTTGATAACATTGCTCAGTGTATACTTATTCTAATTATTTTTAATTTAATAGCTTTGTAGCAGAGTATCTGGTGACAAAATAATGAACGACAAAATTACTGTGAGAGTATATAATAATAATAATAATAATAATAATAATAATAATAATAATAATAATAATAAATATTAAAACGATATTAAAATGATCTAATAGACTATAGAATTTCCAACAAAAAGATAAAGAATTGATATAAATCTTAAGTTGACACAAAATTACCATTTTTCCGAAACTCCTGACATTTGGCTGTTATTTAAATTCATTTTACTAAATAATTCATAAGTGTAACCATAAGGACGATATTTATTCCTCAGTTGTTTAAATGAACTATCTTAATAATAATAATAATAATAATAATAACAATAATGATAATCGGGTGTCGCCGTAAGCTTATGAAGGGATAAATGCTGTCAAGTTGAATTTTCATCCCACGATACGAGTGATCGGACAATAGACGACGTGCTTTACTCTTCTCTCATCGCGTGCTTCATTCACACTATATAATAAATGCACGTATATATACAAAACACTCTCCCCCGTTTACATTATTATCACCATTATTATTACTATAGTGCGAATGGCGAATGGGTGTGGCGGAAACAATGTGACATTCATTGACACGCGTACAACGCGATACTAGACACTACCAGACAAAATCGATCTTTTTTTTTCTGTTTGATTCAAATTCACCGTTTCTGTTTTTATTTAAAAAATTTTGGCTCTACAAAAAAAAATTGAACATTTTGATTTTAGAAAAAAAATTTTCAAAAATCATAAAAAGCTTAAAAATATATACTGTCATAATTTTTCTGTTTTGGATAAAAGTTCAAAAAAAATTACAAGTTTAAAAAACTGTAATTGTTGTACACAGTTACCATTTATTGCACGACTTACGATGCAAAGCATTTTTTCCCTCATAAAAACAATAAATCTCACATGACACTAGTGAGTTGTAATTCGCGACATAACACTTGTAAATTAATTATAATTATTTTTTTATCTACTTTTTATATAAAAAAAAAAAAATAAATAAAAAAGAGTAAGAGATTTCTATCGAATAATCGAGTCCAGTAAATTTAATTGTTTATCTTCCCCTTTGCACGGTTCAACGGCCCAAACTTCCCGGATATAACTTTACCTGTGCTGTCTGTTGTCCAGTTGCTCGACGTCGTAATTTTAAATATAAATTATATTTTTTGTGTAACAGATTTTTAAATATTTAATGCACTGTATTTTACTAGGGGGTAATTTTCGTAAATGTCCATGTGAAGTTATGGTCAATAAAAGTTAAATATTATATTAATGCTGGAGGAAGTCACCGAAATTAATGGAAGTGAATGTAATGAAAACGAAATTTCAAATTTAATTAAATACCGTATGTTAAACTTGAGAAGATTCACCATTCACTTTAGCAGATAGGAGTAATGGACGATTAAATTCAAATGTTTGATTTCTATTCACTAGACTAGAATATCATGATTTTATAATGAGATTGTATAATCTGATAATAGTTTCAATCCACTATTACTTCATTAGTTTAGTGATCTAAAGTTTTATTGATAATTACTTTCAAGTTAATTAATTGTTTGATTGAAAAAATTAAAATTAAGGTAATTTTTTTTTGTTTAACGGGTCACAAAATTTCAACCTATAAAAATTATATTTAGAATTTTTTTTCAAACAATTTTTTGTTAATGTCAATTTTTTGATAAGAAAAATCTTTTCGAAAAAATCATAGACAAAAATACGATATTTTTTAAAATAGAACGATTGAGAAAAAATAAATGTTAATTTGTTGATTTTTTATGTTAAAAAATCAGACGATCATGAAATTAAAAAACTACCAAAATAAAATAATAAATCGCGTGGCTAATTTATAAAGAAAAAATGTGAGAAAGGTTAGGAATTGAACTTGAACTTGAAAAAAAGATCTTAATAAAATGATTAAAATAATTGTCTCAGAGTAATAATAATATCAATTATTATTATTATTACTACTACTACAAGTATCACTATAACTGTTATAATAATAATAATAATAATAATAATAATAATAATAATAATAATAATAATAATGTCTCTTGAACTTGGCCACTCCCAGTTCCACTTGAGAACGCGTAGTCGTTATGTCTGTAAAAAATAACCCACACACTCCTACACGTTCTGGGACAAAGGTCGCAGTATTAGTATTTCATATGTATGTAAAGTATAACTTTTGACAGGGATGTAACTGTTGGAGTAGGGACTGGTTAGTCTACTGAAGACTAGTCTTCACTTTATTGTTTCCCGCTAAAAAACTAGAAAAAATAAAAAACCGGGATTAGTGCGGTAATTTGGTGTTAGAATTCGATACCGCATTCTAGATATAATGTGGCCGGGATGGCTTTGAACACGTACGGGACAGATGAGAGGGAAACAAAAATTCCGAGGGAGAATTATATGTGAAAGCATATGCTGTTAATGGAAATTAGTGAATTAATTTTTGGGGGAGATTTGAAATTTTAAAAAGTAACTTTACAAAAAAAATTTATAAATATTTAATTTTTGTCATTAAATGACTGGCGTTTTTTTATTTTCTAATGACTTAATAATTGATTGAAAATCTTCGAACGTCTTGCCTAATCCTTAAAATATTTTTTCATTACCCGTCTATCAATTTTCAAAATAAATTTCCATACTGTCATCTTCACTATATTCAATAAAAAAAAATCTCTGGATCATCAATTATAAAAGTATTTACTCAAAATTAATTATAATACTTGTATTGAAAACCTTTGTCATCAAATGACTCTTCATTTTTTCAAAAACTTGAATATTTTTAATGTTCACTAAAAAAAAAATTCAAGTACCAAAAACAATAAGAAAATTATTTACTCAAGATAAAAATTGATTTTCCCGAGCCAAAAAAAAAAAATTCTCATTATTATATATCTGTAATATTCCATCAAAACCCCAGACTGAATGGAGAAATATATTTTATTTAAATAAATAAAAACCCATCGTCACAAAGTATACGGTGAATAGAATAAGATGAGTCACGGTTAAACTAATTCAAGTTAAAAAGGATCCACTCTCCCTCGTTACCTCGATTCAATACATAACACACTTGATCCTTCTCCGTTCCCTTCACTTTGTCCTACATCTCCAACATCTCATTTCCCATCCTTATCCTGGACTATTCTACAAACTACATCAACATCTTGAACAATCTACGGCTGCCAAGTCTCAAGGACATTTTTCCCTTCTTAAAAACCTTCTCCTTGAATTAATCTTTCATATTCATCCAATAATTCCTATCCAGATACAGAATAATCCGTGATATATAATAGTTAAAAAGCCATATGCTTAGACCAGAACTACTCTAAAAAGCAACAAATATTTAAACAACTAGGCATTGTCCCTCGAAACTCTTAATTATTTAAAACAACTTGTATACTAACTAACCCGGAAATCTTAAATTTTCATTCCTGTCCTTTCTGCTCAACAACCGGGCCATTGTCTTTTGTCAGATACAATGACTTGTTGTCTGAATAACTTCTAAGGAATGTTTAGTTTTCTTTCTTCGATGTTAATTAACTATTATTGTATACAACATACAATATTCAAAGTTGGAGTATAACTGTTTAAATTAAACAAAATAGTAAATACCTCTGCAAGTGGTTCTTCTTTGCTAACGTCACCGTTTTTCGGTGAGTCTTCACGTACTGGTTTGCTCTTGTCCTTCTTACTGAAGCTTATCGATCTGAATGACCACTTCTTCTTTGTCTAGAAACAAGAAAATTTTTTATTAAAATAAAAATTAAAAATGAATAAATAAAAATTATAAAAAAAAAAGTAATTACCTTGTCCTTCTTCTTAGCCTCTTTAGTGTCTGGAGATGTTATTTCTTTAGGACTCGCGGGTGTCTCTTCAGTAGGTGTCGTTACTTGTTCACCTTCCACTGGTGATTCCGTGGCTGGAGTTTCTGGCTTCGATTCATCAGCAGTTTTCTTATCGTCATCATCCTGAAATATTTCGTTGTTATTAGGCATTTATTAAATAGATTTACAATTAGTTATTAATTAATATTGAGCTAGTTTATTTTATTTATTTAATTTAAATTGCAGAACGGGGTTTAATTTATTTTAAAACGACACGGTGAAAAAAAAAAAAAACGTAGATTAGATGAGTAAGCAGTATTATCAAGACGAGTACCATACCAGCATTCTACGACCCATTGACTCATACATCATAACGCGGAGTTAATTGACTTTGAAGTAACCGCTGAGAATTTTGAAATTGGGGAGCGGAAAATTATAAATATGCCGGAAGAAAAATTAATGCTGGTGGTGATGGGTAGAGATGAGTTATTTCTTCCATGGGAAATTTTATATTTACATTATTATTATCATTACTTGTTTCCAAAAAGGGCTGAGCCCTATTTTTTTTTTTTTTTTTCAGTGAAATATTTGTAAGAAAAATTAGTGGGCGGGTGATATTGGGAAGAGTAATTGAGACGTTTTTGTGAACTATTTTTTGATAAGACGGGGGGTTTTTTTTTTTTTTTTGAAGATCTTTCAAGTATGAAGATCATTTTGAGCTTTGTTGTAAATTTTTATCTTCACTATAGGTTTGAAAAAATAATTAGTTGGTTTGAAAATAAAAATTCTTTAAGTCAAATTTTTTTAGGAAGTTATATATAAGATTGATAATAAATAATGAGAAAATACAATATTATTAAAACATATAGTGATTCGAATAGAATCTTTATTTTAAAATAATCGTATCGAGAGGTGTCGTTACTTGACAAAGTTCAGTCGTAGACTAACTATAATGTTAAAACTATTTTATTGCGAGGTCTAACCCTCTGTATTGTCCTTAGTAAAACATGTTTTTCTTTTTGAATAAGACCGTAATATTTAGTTGTACTGTACATTGTAAAATAAGGAGTCTTTTGTACAACTCAAGTACCTAAGGTCGTAAAATCAAGCCTATACAGGCTTTCTAGCTGCACAAATGTGCCTTAAGGTAGTTGTAGCGTGAAAGGCATTTCAACAGAAAGTTATGAAATTTTTTTTATCAAAAGATAAATATATTAATAATTCACTACCAAAATTTCAGATCAATTGACCGCACCGTTTTTGAGTAATTAATTTTCGAAATCGCATCTTTTACACGTAGAGGTATAGAGAGATGGTAAAGTTAGTATGAAATCTTTGACCCACTCGAGTGGTACGGAAGATTTCATACTAACTTTACCATCTCTCTATACCTCTACGTGTAAAAGATGCGATTTCGAAAATTAATTACTCGAAAACAGTGCGGTCAATTGATCTGAAATTTTGGTAGTGAATTATTAATATATTTATCTTTCGATAAAAAAAATTTCATAACTTTCTGTTGAAATGCCTTTCACGCTACAACTACCTTAAATTTGTTTTTCACATTTCAAAACTAATAAAATAAAATATACTATTTTTCAAAAATAAATATTTCTAAGAACAAAATATCTAAAATATAAAACTAAAAGTTTTGTAACTGGGATTTATTTTTGCTCAGAGAATCCTGATTAGAAAATCAGGGTTCGTATCCCCGGCGAGGTAAAATAAATAATTTCGACATCTTTATTTTTTTATAGTACGTACTGATATCTAAAGTTAATTAATTAATAAATATTTAATTGAAAATGTAAATAATGAAATTTCTTTTTGTCTGACAGGTGGTACTCGATAATCTATAAACCGCGATTAAATAAATATGAAAAGCCTTTGTAATAGGATATTATCTATATTTACGAGAATTATCATAACGAGTATAATGAGATATAGATAATAAATAACATTGTGAAAAAAATATAAATAAAAAACATGAAAGGAAGTACAAGTCGTTGGACAAGTTACACGGTCATTAACCCGACCGATTAGGACAGTCGAGTACCAACACTCGTTACCTACTGAATAAGATTTGATTTCAAAGTCGCGTAATAATAACAATAACGTAACAACAGAGCGCACACACACCTGTTTTTTTCCCATAATTAACCTATCCGTTACTTCCATAATAATATCCCGTTTTTCTATGTAATCATTTCATTTTTATTTTTATTACCTTCCTTCTGCTCTTTACTACCAAACGCATTACAACGGTTTCATTATTTGGTTTTCTGCCCTATTTATTTTTCCTTTTACTACTTTGTCGTCTTAAGAATGAATTTACTTTTGTTCTAACAATTTTCACCTGTTTAAATGTCAAGTATTTACTTTTATTTTAACACAATGCCTTTTGTATTTTTTTTATTATCAAATTGCTTCATATTTTTTAATTATTTTACAGACTTGTAAATCATAAATTTTATGTCTTTGTCGAGATTTTTAGAATCTTCAATTTCAGCTTTAAAGTTTTCTATAGATTTTTTAAGTTCCGACAATTTTTTACGAAGTTTTTGACGCCTTCAGATGAAGAACTCATTTTTTACAAGAATTCTCCGTATTTTAAATCTTTGAAAATTCACAACTTCATTCCTAATCAGAATGAAAGAATCGTATAAAGTTTATCTTGAAGAAGATACTTGTAGCTCAACATTTTTATGTCTTTGCCGGAATTTTTAGAATCCTCAGAGTCTCAGCTATAAAATTCACTATGGGTTTCATAAGTCTCGACATTTCTTCGCCAAGTTTTCAGCACCCCCAGGTCAAAGACCTTTTTCTAAAGAATTTTCTGTGTTTTAGATCTTAATAAATTCATAATTTTATTTCTTCTCAAGTTTGTCAAGATTATTGTTTAAAACTATAAAAAATAAACTTATATTTAAAAATCAATTCATCAAAATTCTAAAAAATGTAAACAAGATTTTAATAATCGATATTTACATTAAAGAACTACAAACAAAAAACATAAATTATATAAAAAAAATATGAAAGAAAATAATCGAAGAGCCAATATATAAAAAAATAAATTTATCTTCTTGAATCGTTTAAAAGATGAGATCTATTAGTCATTAATCTGAACGCGGGTATACAAGTTTATGGCGTACAATATATCATATCCATTATCGGCAGTTTATCAAAGCATGTCAATCTTTAGATAGTTGTTATTTAACTCTCGATTAAATTTAAAAAATATAAATATTACGTCTGAACATAATACAATATATAACAGGTATCGATAGTATATTACGTTATATATTGAACATTAAGCATATAATAATATAAAAGTACATAGTACACACGCGTGTCGTGCGTCAATCTTTAAGCCGGACAACTGGCCGACAACTGAAACCCAAGTGTGTGATTCAGTACTTTATACCGAGTGTCATGTATCTATAATGTATACAGATACACAGATATGTCGGTATGTTGCACATTTATCCGACATTCCGCTGTACTGGGCATTCAAATAAAACACTTGGATGCACTCGTATGAGCTCATACATCATACATCATGCATTAGTGCTTTTATTTTCTCACTCTTTGCCTTATATTATTATTTTATTATGCATTACTTTTTTATTTTCTTGTTATTGTTGTTGTACTTCTGTGGTTTAATTTTCCTTTGACTCACAACCAATTTCAATCTCCACACGCTGTATAATCTCTACTGTCGCGGCTTATTCAGCTCCAACTTCTGATACTCAACTAACAACAATTAAGAAATAAAAGAGAACGCCTGATAACAATAACGCTTCTTTGTTTGGTTATTAATTTCTCATTTTTTATTAATAATAAATTGTGCACTTTCAATAAGTGCGCTTCAATGAATTTTTAATTTTAAAATTTTCCGCGCTTTAAAATTCACCACTAAAGGGCTTGTAACATTCACAAAATGGCAGCGGGAATTTTTCAAAATTAAAATAGCGATAACTCATAAACTAACAGAAATTTTATTCTGACTTTCTGCTGGGGTCATTCTTTAGGAGCCTACGAAGCTAAATACAAAAAAATCAGTCGACCCTAAAAATAAAAACTTATTTTATTGTTTGAAGTTTTTTTTTTTTAATTTAATGAAGAGAATGAAGTAAAAAATTTTCACTTTCGTGAGTTAAAACTGCAGTCTAACCTCGTTTCGCACAATAAACCCTGTAAACAGTTGGTACAACAGAAAGTAATATGTAAAGGAAAACAAAAAAATGAAATCGCGGCATCCGGCATTCAGTGAATTTAAGAATTCTTTTTACACGCGATGCTGCCCGCAAAAGGAGTTTAATGTAAGGCGATAAAGCACACCCGCCGACAATTTATTCTCTGCTAATAATTTATATATACACAACTCACACACTTCCATGTACATATTCAGATGGTATTGACGTAAAAATCTTTACGCGTGCCCATCTTCGTGTCAATAATTGATGGTGTCGAAAAAAATTCACAAAGAACTACACCAAAAATTTTTCAACAAAACTTTTTAAGATCGCTCTTATTATATCGCTAATGAAACATAAATTCTGTTATATGCTTGAGTTATTGTTATTATAATAACAATAACAATAATAATAAAAAAAAAAATATTCCAGTGATTCATCAAAGAAGCATGACAATTTTACGAATTAAATTTTTTTATCTTCTAATTTATAAACTTTATTTTTATTTTAAACTATTCTTTTCCTTCCTGTTTATCAACGATATAAATATTACTTATCCTATTCCAAGTGAGTGTATCGCATTCCAAGAATAAATTACTCATAATAAAACATTTTTTTTTTAAAAGGAAAAATCACTCGGTTAACGAGCATGAAATCAAATGTTTGAGCATTAATGCGTGTAAAATTTATACAAAAAACCTTAAGCTAACATCTATTTCAAATAATCACAATATTTATTCAATGATAGAAAACATAAGATTCTAATTATCATTTTTTTTATTTTTTTACTCATTTATTTAATAGTGAATCAATTGACTGAAACTTCAAATCAACATTAGCAGATTGAGAAGAAAAAAAAATTTATGAAAGACTTGGACTAAAATTTTTTCAAAATTGAATTTGGTAAAAAGTCCATAGAATTTACAAATTCAAACGATCGAAATAATATTTTATAATAAAACAAATATTCTATTCGTAGAAATATGCGAAGGTCATAAAAGTGAAGTACATTTATATAAATAAAGTGAAAGATTGTAACAAAAAGTAGCAAAGTACCGACATAAACTTTTTATTTATGTTTCTTAGTATTAACCTAAATCGCGAGTACAATAAAGTTATTTCCCAAAAGAGTCATTTTGTCTTGAAAACTTTACAGATAAAAATAATCCTCGGATTTTATTGTTTCTTTTATCATTTCAATTCAATTTACTTCAAATTCTATTCTACTATAAAACTTTTTTTTCTTAAGACTAGCAATTGATAAGAGGCTAACTTTTACACGAAAATTCAATGAAAAACTTACAGAAAGCTAAATTCTACACCAGATTTTTTACACAATGAGAAAACATAAGAAAACCTTATTTGTAATGAATGAAAATTGAAATTATTTAAAAATTAAAAAATTTTTTTTTAACAAACAAATTTGTTCAAATAAATTATTTTTAAAAAATTGCATTTTTTCTTGTTTAAAATTTCTAAATGTCAATTTTTTTTATAATTTTTTTTTGCCATAATTTATTGAAAAAAAAAATTCTAAAATTTATTAAATATCTGCTAAATTTGTTATTATAATATAATTTATTTTTTAGCAGTTTTTACTTTTTAGAAAATATTTTTTTTTTTAATTTACCAAAAAATTTCAACAATTAATTTTTTCCATATTTTATTGCGAACGGAAGAAACCATGAAGTTCTTGTCAATAATTTGAGCAAAAATTTCAGAAAATGGAAAAAAATCAACCTATAAAAATTATGAGTGATTTATTACAAATTAAATGCAGATTTAAAATATATGGCCAGGACTGATACCGAAGGTTGCACCTGCATTCTAGGCCCAAGACAAGGTCAAGATAATACACAATACCCAACAAAACAAACGAGAATCTTTACGGGACTGTAAAAATGTTAAATGCTGGATATATGTCCTCGAGATTGCGGCGCACCTGATGGCATCCACTCTTTATTTTATTTTATTATTATTATTATTATTATTATTTATTCTTGATCTAAGTACATACAAGTAAGTGCCTCGACAGTAGTAGTGGTTAAAAATAACCGGAAATTTCCAGTGCATAAACCGATGAATAATAATTACTTGTAGTCAATTTTTTTGTATTGTTATGCGTATGAGACAGAGACAGGTGGAAATAATAAATCAGTTAAGCATAAGAAAGCGACAAAGTTAATGCTGAAAAAAGTTTAAATAAATAGAGTAATCGATTTTGCGTGACTAATATCACTGTTAAATGTATATAATATAAAATGAAATAAAACAGGGCGTTGATGAGGTTGAGGTTTTACTTCTGTTAGTGGATTATCTCCAGGCAGTAAATGACTTATTGCGTCACGTCAGGGTTTACTTTTATTCACCGTTTAAATTTACTTATTTGAACTGAGAACAATGGAATTGTGCTGGTGTTTTAAGGAGGACTGTCAACAGCTGGGTAATGTAATGTATGGATGTAATTCATCGGAAACTTGCTAATTACGATAGTAATATCGAAATGGGATAGTGGAGCGGAAAAATATGACTTATATTTTTTACTAGCTCTAGTTTTTTTTTCTTAAAATTAACCATCATATTTATGATAATAGAATTAACAGATATTTGATCATTTTTAAAATATAAATTAAGACAAGAGAAATTTTATATGTAAAAATTTATCTTAATAATTTAAAATAATTATCTAGTAATTTATTTGTTAAGTAAAACTAAAAAATGTCTGCTTATTCTATTTTGATAATTTTTTTGCTTGAAATTTGATTTGAGTATTTGATATTTATTTTCAAAAATTTTAGAGCAATTATTTGAATTTAAGAATAAAATTGTTGAATTAATTTTACGTGTAAAAACAGAAAATTTAGAAAAAAAAATTTTCTTCATTATTTTATTTTGATGTACTTTTCAAAACTCTAAATATTCTAGATATGGTTCGAAATATTGTGAACCGTGAAATTAAACAATTTAAAAATTTTCTACTTATGGAATCTTTTTAAATATTTTTAATAGTTTATCTATCAAAATAAAAATAATTCTAAAAATCCAATACACAAATAAAATTTCTTCACAGTTGAAAAAAAATTATCCGCTAGTAAAAGGACCAAAGTTTGTAACTTAAGCCTCCAAACATTTACCGCTTACTTTCACCTCCGACACTAAAACCGTCAAAATACTAAATTTAACAATAAATCAAGCTAATAATCCTAAGATTTGTTAAATGAACCGAATAAAATAAAAACTGACCTTTTCTTTTTCCTTTTCTGTAGTAGACTCCTTCTCGTTAACATTATCTTTGTCCTCGGGAGCGTCTGTATGTGGCGCAACGCCGTTAGTGGTGGGTTTAGTGTTGGCATCGGCTTCCTCGATCCTCTCCAATTTTCCATCACCTACAGCAGGTGCATCACCCTCTGCGGGGATTCCATCTTTTTTGGGTGTCGTTGTCACGTCCATAGACCTCTTGCTGTGTCGTCCTCCCATTTTTAATCCTTCTTTCTATCAAGTTAATATACACCGACCAATCAATAAATATCGCTACGCCTAGTTAACCTCCGTATCAGTTTCTGTAACACAAAGAAATTTATTTATAGTTAATAGAGTTATATTCGATCTTTCAATTGCCGACAATTTAGTTTCATTTATTTGTATTCATAAAGGAATGTTGGGAATTAAACAAGGTCATTACATATTAACATCAGTATAATTATACATGAAACAAGATCAAGAAGAATATAAAATGAAGAAATACTAAATACTTGAAGAAATTTTTTTTTTCTAAAGTCAATGAGACTGATCTTTCATACGTTCAATTAATTAGAGTGAGATTATTTAATTTATGAATTGAAAAAAAAAATTTTTACAATAAAATTTCATTTTTTTTTATAGTTTTTAAAAAAATTTTGAAGAAAAAAAACTAGCAAGATAATTTCATTAAAAAAATAGATTGGAATCTCTGAAGATAAAAAAAATTGTCAAAGTATCTAATTTATGATTACACAAAGTGGGTTCGTGAAAGGCCGTCGAGTGTTTACTCTTCTCGGTGTCTTGAATGTTTGCACAACGGAATAGGTCAGTAAACGTATAGTATGAAAGTACTCAAACTTGCATTTCTTATGAGTACACAATCGCACTCTCGACGTATGCTAACCGGTAAACCTAACACGCCATTATACATTATATCTATCCCGGCAGCCATCCATCAATTTAAATAAATTACATTATAAAAAATTTTTTTTCAACAAAATTAAATTACATCCTTAATCCTTAACTTCGTCCGGTCTCTACTCGATAACATTAAACATTTAACACGAGGAGGACATTCAAGCGCCTACGTGATCGCTGATCGGATTTATGGGATTTAATTTATTAATGTGCATATTCCAAGTACGTGGGATGAAAATTTTACTTTCTTTCACTCAACTCTAAACTGTATCGCTTATTTAATCTTATTGTATTATATTATTGACTGTATGACTTTTTTTTCTTTCATTTTGCACTTTGTTTGATGTTTCCGGTGTTAAAAATAAGGTCGCTGTATGTATCATCTCTGACTCAAAGCGATGATAAAACTCACAATTAAACAGAAAATATCTGTTTTATAAATGACTAAGTTGCAATATAAATAGAATGAGATTAATTTTTTTTATCAATCTGCTCAATAGATTAATAAAAGTTGATTAATGACAATAAGTATGAGATATTTTTAATTGACAATAATATTTAAATCAGACTGAGATTTATGTTCGGATTAAGAATTGTTATTTACATTAGATAATTTTTTTTTAAATTGAGTTTAGAGTACATAGATAATTTTTTCAAAGAATATACTAAAAATTTTTTTTTTTTTTTAATTAGATTCATAATCAAGCCATGAAATGAGCTTCATACATCCGTACGAATGTACGGAAACTATAACTCGTAAAATAACTGAACTAAAGCAAATATTTTTGCTTTACAATGAGCCAACGAATAATTGTTCAAATATTGACACATTTTGTTGTGAAAAATATAAAATAAAATGAATAATGTAGTTAGTTGAATGGATATTTGAAAATCGAGTTTGGGTATTAATTTTATAAAAATAAAATGAATAAAAACATCTGGTGAACTTGTGTGTATATCATGTGTGTAATGCGTATGTCGTTTAGTTGGTCTACTCAACTCGGAATGAAAATTTATTGTAATGCAGAGCAGCCGTGCGTACAAGTGAGTACGAACCCGCATACAGTATGAGAAAGCGCACGTGTTACCTCGATGACAAAAAAGAGAAAAAATACTCAACTACCACTACATATATAGGGAAAAAATATAAAAAGAATTATCATGAAAAACGACCAGAGGAAGTGCTACCGTGTGTTATACGCAATAAAAGAATAAGTATTTTTTTAAATAATAATTAATATGTTAATTAGTCGTCGATTGAAAGATCTCAACTTGGAATAATATTTGTCGATAAAAAAATTTATTTTTAATGATAAATATTTTTGAGTTGAATTTATTGCTGCGTGATATGGCAGTTTAAAAATTTTTGATAATATCTTATTACTTTAAAACACGTTATTCTATTCCAATGTGGCATGACTTTTCAAGTATTAATCGTCAGTAACAATCATGTCAAATAAAAATTATTTGTTTAATGGATTCATAAAGGTCGCAATTACTGTTGTGTATAAATAAAGGTCGCGTTTTTTTTTTCGCCTGGACAAAGAGGTTATTTTATTTTTTATAATTTTAACTTTTGTATAATTAAAAAAAATTGAGCTAATTTACAAAGTTTTCTAGGCTGAATATATTTGAATAATTTCTGATGAAAAATAAATTTATTCGGCTGCACGCAAAGTTTTAATTAGAAAAAAACTGTCGAATTACTGATAGCTGAAATTTTTTCAATTGAATTGTAATATTGGAAATATATAGATAGTAATAAAAAGCAGAAATAATTAATTTAAAATGAGCAAACAAATTTACAATTGAAAATGGAATTAAATTGGATACTAAAGTATCAGAGTGTTTGTTTTAGCGGACAAATTCATTAAATGGTAATTAATTTTTATGCAAATAACTATTGAAGATATTTGAATGGAAAAATTTAATTTAAAAGAAGTTTAATTAGTGACTGGTGAAGCTTATTTTTCAATGTATAATAAAATCAGTTTTTTAATAACAAAATTCCATTTGAAATAAGAATAATTATTATTTAATTGACAAACTTCAAATACTTTCTGCATGAAATGAAATGATAAAATTTTTTATCGACAGAATTCCCAAATTGGAGTATTAAAATAAATCAATAAATTACAAGAATTAGTGTACAGTTTTTCAGGGTGGCGATTGACCTGGAAAACCTGGAAATGTCAGGGAATTTGAAATTTCTGGAATAGTCAGTGAAAAGTCAGGGATTTTTAACTTGGGTCAGGGAAATTTCTAGTTTATTTTAAAAAATAAACTAGAATGCTGTAGAAATAATAAATTATTTCTATAGCATTCTATAAATCGTACTGCAGATAATTTTTAATATTAATTGATGTTATTTAATTTCTTAATTCATATTTCTTCTTTTTTGTGATCAATAATACTCAAAAAACTAAATGTATGGATAATTAATAATAATAAAAAAGAAGTATAACTTCTTAATGATTAGTGATAGTAATAATATCAATTATTGTATTTTCAAAAGTTTAATTATTTAATTTAATTTTCAAAAGAAACTGATCTTTTTTGAATAGTTGAAAATCTGCAAAAAAGTATAACATAATTTATAGTTCCAAATTTTTACTCAATTCTGGATATTAGATATGAATTCTAGCATACAAAAATTATTTTTAAAATATTTTGCAATTATAACGAATATTTGACTAACAATTATTTTTTTGTAGGTTCTGGAATTTCATTTTTGGTCAGGGAATTTTGTAATTAGTGTTCAGTCGCCACCCTGGTTTTTCTAAATGTAATTTTATATTATTTGTTAAATAAAAAAATTAAGTGAATATAGCAACAGAAAATTCTAAAAACCGACATTCACACTACTCCAAGAATCGTTGATCCCTACCAACTTCACATCCATTTTTCCACTCAGTGTATTCTCAAAGTATCAATTTTTCAATAACAAAAAAAAAGTAAAAAAAAAAACGCGGCAGCCCAACCCAACTGACACACAATCGCGTCTCACAAATAAAAGTCTCCGGCCTCCGGGTCTTCTTTCTTGTCCTCTCCCCTGGCATCTTACGCCCGGCAGGTAGACCGCTGTGCTAAAATCTCACAAAGAGATTCGATGGTGAATCTCTGTAAAAGTACACAATAGACATCTAACCTTCAATTTTGATTTAGAATCAAAATCTAAATCAAGTCGTTGCCGTCTATTTCCTCAAAAAATTACCAAAAGTAATCTTCATAAGTTAAAATAAGCGGTATCGATTTATGCGCTTCAAGATGGCGATCTCGTGGATCCAGGTTCGAAAATCACCTAGACCTCCGCCCATAAAACCAAACCATGCATACACCGGACCAGTTTAGCTCCATTCAATTAAACTATTTTTTTATCTCAACTAGTCTTCTCCATTTGCGAATAAAACCACATCCTTTAAAAAAGAAGAATATAAATTATGAGTTAAATTTTTTCCAAGCCGAAAATAATAATAATCATGATAATATAAATAAAAGCCAAGCGAAACAAATACAAAATATTCATGAAAATTAAGTTAGCCGACATTTAAAAATTTTTATAATTTTTTTTTATTGAAAAAATCATTACAAAAAAATAAAAAAAAAAATTGCACGTCTAAAAAACTTCAAAAACTGTAAGTGCAATTTTAAAAAAAATTTTTTTGTTATAATTTGAGTATAAAAAATAAAATCAAAAAATTTAGAACGTCGGCCAACTTTAATGACATAAATATTCCTAAAATAAAAATACACGAGTTTGAAATTTATCATTAGTCGAAATTCGAAAAAAACGGAACACGATCTATCATCAATTAAAATTAAAGCGCGCTATTCAAATTTCTAGTTACTTAAGTAAAATACTCAGATTGAAGAACTTAAAGTGTCCATCAAAGTCTCTAGCATCCTATCCAGGAAGTGTTGCGCGCACGCTCTACTCGTCCTTCCACGAATCCTCATAATTCTTTCTCAAGAGTTAGCATTGTACCGTTAACTTTCAATCCAATCCGAAATAATCTCATCTCAATCCTTAATCTCCAACATCCCCATCAGCGGTCACTTAAACAATTAATATTTTGAATAAATAAATTACTCACAATATATATTTATAAAAGTGCACATTCACTTTTAACCACAGCCAACAAATTTTTTTTTTTTAGTCAACAATTATAAAACACTCGCGTATAAAATTTAAATAAAGAAACTTTTTATAAATATATTTTTTTTTTATTTATTCAATATTTATATTTATTATTATTATTATTATTATAAATAAATTTGTATTTTATGGAAACACGAGGTATATAAGTATAGGCTGCTAA